CCTGCAGCTTCCAAACCCCTTAACCCACCAGGCAGCCACCTTCCACTGCTCCAGGAATGTATGGACCCTCTGCCCACACACCCAGGGAAAATTACTTATGAAAAAAGAAATAATGGAATAGCAATAAATATTCAAATAATAATATTAATTAAGAATTCAACAAACTATTATTTAATTAATTATTACTTATTTAATAATTAATTAAATGCATAATAAAATTATTGTTTAAATTATCCTTTTCTAAGGCAGATCAAGAACGATTTTCTCCTTTTGAATACACACAAAGCCAGGGAGGAGGACGTTCCCCAGGAGATGTCAGGGGGTGCTGGCTCTGAGGACAGGATCTCTCTGGCTGGGAGGCCCTGCTAAAGCACAAATCCCCTGTTCCCACCCACCAGCACAAACCCTGTGCCCTGAGCCCGTGCACGAGGGCTGAGACAGGCGAGAGCAGCGGCCCAGCAGGCAAATCCCAAAATCCCCCGTTTGGGATCCGTGCTGGATCTGCACAGCAAAGCAGGAGATCAAATGTGCTGGGGGAGCTTTGGCTGCTCAGTCACCAGGCTGGCTCTGTCCAGCAGGATTGCACCTTGCCCACGCTGAGGGGGATGCCAGCACACAGCCCTGCACACCTGCCTCATCCCTTCCTCTTCCTCCTGCCTGCTGGCACTGCAGGAGAACATCCTCAGAGCAAGTCTGAGCAAGAAAAGAGCCTCCTGCAGATGGCCTGACTCAGAGCACGCCTGCCAGGGAATCCAGGCACAGCCCTGGGCCAGGAGGGAGAGGTTCTATTGCTGGAAGTGTTCTTGGGCAGGCTCTGGGGATGTTTGACTCCTCCTGAGTTTTCCACACAGCCCTGCCTCTGCAGCTCCTCCAGGATCTGCCATAAATTCACAGGGAACCAGCAGATTGTAGGAACAGTTCTGCTTTCCCCTACAAAATGACCTTGCAGGAGAGTCTAAAGCCCCTTGTTCCTCCTGCCTCACTCCCCCGAGCCCTTGCACTCAGTTCAACTGGGAAATTCTGCTTTTTCCAGAACATAACCTCACTATTTTTCACACTCTTGCAGAGTTACCGGGAAAACAAAGAAGCTGTTGAGCGCTGAACAGAGATTATCATCTGCTCTACAGAATTCCTGCTGCTGTCCCTTGCTGAAACCCAAGGAGCTCCATTCCACTGGGAAACTATTTTCAAGGTCTGAGACTGAGAGTAAAAGAAAACAAAAAAAACCAAAAATAAACCCCACGTTTTTACCCGAAAGCTCGGCAATATGATGTGAGGTGAATGCGTTCCCTCGCTGGGGTGTTGATCCGTGGGGCTGCAGCTGTAAATGCCCTCCAGCCTGGCTGAGTGCCAGAGCCCTGAGGAGCCCTGGGGAGCCAGCCCAGGCCAGGGTGGGGCACAGACGGTGTCAGGATGCTCGGAGCAGGCTGGCATTTCCATCAGGCTGGTGCACAGAGGGGTGAGCTGGCTCCTGTCTCCCACGTGTGTCCCCGGAGCACCCAACCCTCCCTACACCTCCCACGGCACCACGAGCAGCAGGAGCTGCTCCCACACAGGAACGGGGGATCCATCCTCCCTCTCTGGGGCTCACAGACCCCTCGGGCTGGAGGGGGCAGAGCTGCCCTGTGCCCACCCAGTGAACTCCTCAGAGGTGCCCCCACACCGAATTAAACGCCTCTGCCTCAGAACCAACCCTCAACTTCCTCCTGCCTAACGCTGGATGAGATCAGCCCTGCCTTGTGCCTCACCATGGGCACTTCTCCGGCCCAAAGAGCCGAGATTCATTCCTTGGGTCACCCTGACAGGCTGGCAGCAGAGTAACTGCCCGTGGCTGGAAGAACACGCACAGGAATGGCCTCAGAGCCCTCAGATGGCAGGCAGTGATGCACTGCCCAGTGGAATGTCATGGAAGAGCCATAAATCCCCATCCTGCAGGAGCCTGGGGATGTCAGACGTGTGAATATGCTGATTTGGTATCCATGGTACTTTGGCATGTCTCACGTCTTTGTCTTCTGCCCAAAATAGATGAGCTCTTAAATATTACTCAGCACTTGGAGTTCTGCCACAGCACAGAAGACAGTTGAGAAAACACCAAAAATGTGTCTCCCAGTGCAGAGAAATACTGAGAGAAACTTCACTGGCTTTGCTCAGTCTGGGGGCAGAGCCTGCAAGGCAGGGTGAGGTTATTTGGCTGGAGTGGAGGTTGTAACGCAAGGACTGGAACTGAGAAAGGACAGAACCTGCTCATCTAAATAGGACAAAATAGCATAGAACCTGCACATGTAAATAGGAATAGGACAAAATAGCACAGAACCTGCCCATGTAAATAGGAATAGGACAAAATAGCAGAGAACCTGCTCATGTAAAGCCCTGGCTGAAGCTCTCACCCCTCCTTACAGGTACTGGGTGGTCACTTCAAGCTGAACTCAGGAAATCTGTCACACAGTATTTCCCAAAATCCAAGTATTTCAGGCACATCCTAAGGACAGAACCCCTCGGTCCTTTGTGACAGCCCAAGCCCCCCTGTGACAGCACAAACAGACAATCAGGTCATGTCACAGACAAAGACAAAGCCACACACGAGCACAAGCAGGTCCTGCAGCAGGTGTGAGGGGTTCACCACTCTCACCACTCAGCAGTGGGCTGAAATCTGCCATTAAGAAACTGGAAATGAACATTATATCACTGTTCAAAACCCAGGTGGATTTACAGGCAGCAGAAAGGTAAATTCTAAGGCCAGTCCATTCTGATGTCTATAAATAGCCACAATATTCATTTCTTCAGAGGACAAAACCTTTTATTCAGTTTGGAAAGCACCACCTGGCTGTGGTGGATAAACAGGCTGCATTCCCAGTGCCCACTCTCCCACCTTCCCAGGGACAGGGAATGTGCTCTGGAAAAGGTGTGGAAACCCCTGGCCCACCTACAGGAGAGCAGGGCCCCTGAGCCTTTGCAGCTAAAGAAGGGACAGGAGGGTTTGTTCTCACCTGGGAAGGAACTGGGAAGAGCCTTTTGTCCAGCAGGCTGCTGGGGGTGCCTCAGGGCTCTGAGGTGAGGATAACTCACCTGTCTGAGCCAAAGGGCTGGGTTTACAGCCCTGCTCAGGGATCTCCGTGGGCTTGCTGGAGGCTAGCAGGACACCCCCACTCCATGGAGCATCACTCCTGGCACCTTTGCTTCCTGACCCTAAATCTGCTCTGATGTGGAAGGACATGACCATAAAACTCCTCTGGGATGGGGACACCCTGTGTGAAATGTCACCCATGGGTCCTTCCTTGAGCCACTGCAGCTCCCAGCCCACCTGAGGTTCCTCTGCCTCCCTTCCCTTGGTGCAGAGCTGGACTGGGATTGCAGGGTATTGGATTACAAATCTGGGATTGCAGGGTATTGGATTACAAATCTGGGATTGCAGGGTATTGGATTGCAGGGTATTGGGTTACAAATCTGGGATTGCAGGGTATTGGATTACAAATCTGGGATTGAAGGGTATTGGATTACAGGACTGGAATTTCAGATTATTGGATTACAGGACTGGAATTGAGGATACTGGATACTGGAATTTCAGGGTATTGGTATTGGATTACAAATTTGGGATTGTAGGATACTGGATTACAAATCTGAAATTTCAGGGTACTGGATTACAGGACTGGGATTTCAGGGTATTGGATTACAGGACCAAGATTTCAGGGTATTGGAGCACAAATCTGGAATTTCAGGGTATTGGAATACAGGATATTGGATTACAGGACTGGGATTTCAGGGTATTGGATTACAAGTCGATTTCAGGGTATTGGATTACAAGTCCCACGGGTGCTGCCTCAGCCTCAGTAAACTTTATTTAAGCACACACAGACATACACAGACAATATACATATATTTGTTTCTTCTCTGACAGTTCTACAGGACCAACACTACTTTGGATGACACTCGTGGAGAGCTGGAAAAAGTGCAGGAGATGTAGGAAAAAAATGAAATAAAATAAAATATCAAGGTCCTTTAATCATTTGCGAGTCACGGTCATCCACAGAAACAACACAGGAGCGTTCAACCAGGCGAGCACGAGGACACAGCTCCACATACAGTACATTGGTCTAGAGAGGAATCTCCAGGTACATTGTGTCTACAGGGGGTACAGCAGTCTTGGGGACACAAAAGGGGACAGGAATGGCACATGCACCCCCAGTGTCACAGCCAGGGCACCGCTGGGGGGACACGAGGACACTCCGAACACGTCTCACTGTACACCAGAAAAACTCACCAAAGAGGCAACAGCGTGATGGATAAACATGGCCTGGGGTGCTGGTGTCACCAGGACACAGCTCTGGTGTCACCAGGACACAGCTCTGGTGTCACCAGGACACGGCTCTGGTGTCACCAGGACACGGCTCTGGTGTCACCAGGACACGGCTCTGGAGTCACCAGGACACGGCTCTGGTGTCACCAGAACCCCCAGGAGGTTTGGTTACTTGTGGTAAAGGGCTGTCTCTCCACAGATATGTATATACAGTACATGTACACAGAACATACACAGAGCAGCATATGTATATTTTTGTGTTTTCCTGTTTGTACATTATATCACAGATTATAGGAACACGGGAAATATAGGCTTCAGGAGCTAAAAAGAAATAATTTTATAAAATATTCATCATAACCCCCCCGCCCCCACTCCATTTCAATCTAAATAAATCAATAAATCAAATAAAAGCCCAGAAGTCAAAGAAAAGAACTCCAGCCCCATGGTCTAGAGGTGGTCACTGCCTGCCCTGGGCCAGCTGGACATTCCTTCCCCTTTGGGAGCAGCCAGGAAAACACAAAGCTGGAGGAACAGTCGCACTGCAAAGCCAGGTGGAGCCTGGCATCGCCCCTGCCAGGACCCCCAGGTCCTGCCAGAGCCCAGCCCTGACCCTGCAGCCCCAATTCCTGGGCTGACCCCGCCGCCAGCTCACAGCTTTGGATTTAAAACATTCTTTTTATTTAGCAAAAAATGGTTTCCACTGTACCCTTCGTGTGTCCTCGTCCTAACGTGACAAACCCGGAGGAGATGAAATTATGGAGATCTGGCCCTCCACTGCGATAAATATCCTTTCCATAGTGTCCTGCCAGGGAAAAGGAAACAAAAACACCTTCAGTCACTCTGTCTGGGGGAATATACATGTATTTAAATATTTATATATTTCTATATAAAAATATTTCTATGTTTATTATTTATTTATATAGTTATATAAAATATATGAAATATAAATATATTTATATATTTATATATTGTATGTATTTATATACTTTTATATATTTACGTATTTTTACATATTTATATATAAAGTATCTATTATATATTATATCTAAAATATACATATACTTATACATATACATATATAATATATTTTATGCAATTATCTAATACATATATATAATATATTTTATATATTTAAAAATATATCTTTATATATAATATATAATATATAATATATAATATATAATATATAATATATAATAGATAATAGATAATAGATAATAGATAATAGATAATAGATAATAGATAATAGATAATAGATATTTTAGATATTTTAGATATATTTATATAAAATATATCATTTTATAAATTGCATATATTTTTATATATTTTAATATATATTATTTATATATTTATATATATTTTTTTATATATCTATATATCTATATATCTATATATCTATATAGATATATAGCTATATAGCTATATAGATATATAGCTATATAGATATATAGATATATAGCTATATAGCTATATAGATATATAGATATATAGATATATAGATATATAGATAGATATAATTTTTTAAATATTTATTTATATATGTGCTATTCAGCCCTGCTGTCACCCTCATACACACTGCACAATTCCTGGCACCCTGAGGGTGGCACAGCAAATGATACCTGTGGCAACATCAAAGCCTGAATGCTTTGTTGGCCAAGATTTATGAAGAAGAACAACTGCACATTTTGGAAATTGCCCAGGAATGAACAGAATCTACGAGGGGAAGCACCAAAGTGCCAAATCAAACAGCCCAGTCTTGAGGAAATTGGCTCATCCCTGGCTCAGATCCACGTTTGCTCTCCCATGGTCTCACTCACACCTCCAAGAGGAGAAGGGAAGCAGAGGAGGTTCCAGCCAGACCCTGAGAGGATCCCAGCAGGGATTTTGTCCCCATGTGCCAGTGCCACCCCTGTCCAGGCTGCTCCCAGTCCCCAGGAACGGCAGGACAGCAAACTTGGATTTTAGCTTTGGTTTGCTCTGCTCCATGCATGACATCCCTGCACAGCTCCTCAAAAAACTTCCTCAGAGCTTTCTCAGCCCCTGACGACAGAGTAGGTTCAAGAGACACCCAGATTTTTAATATTTTAATACATTAATAAAGGAATAAAAAAGCATCCTGGCTCCTTGTTACCATGCAAAGCTTTGAAATGAGGACAGATGATTTTTCAGATACTCTTTATCATCTCCTCCCTTTTTCATGTTGTTAATTTTTCTGTTCCTATTATTTCAGGGAGAGGCAGAGATAAGATAGGTGCAGGGGGAGGGAAGCCTCGGGGGTTAGGAATGCAGCTCAATCCCAGGGAAATTCCATTTTTCCCCGATTTCCCACAGGAGCTGCAGTGGCAGAAGGCCCTGGGCTGGAGCAGAGCTGGGTCAGGCAGCTGTGGGCAGAACCAGGAGGGCATCAGGATCCAGATGAGAACAGCCTGTCCTGCCCGGCCCCCCTGGGCTCCACAGCCCTGCTCTGTTTTGCAAGGACACCAAAAGCTGTTTGTTCCCACCAGGTTTAGGCTCTCTGGGAATGAAGAGCGGCTTTGGGAGCTTCCCTCACCCCCTCACAGTCAGGCACTGTCCCCAGCCCCAGCAGTTATGGGTTTATCACAGCACCCACCTGCCCCCCAAGGACCCCAAATGTCACAGAATCCCAGACTGGTTTGGGCTGGAAGGGACATTAAAACTCATCCCATCCCACCCCTGGCATGGCAGGGACAGCTTCCCCTGGCCCAGGAGCTCCCAGCCCTGTCCAGCCTGGCCTTGGGCACTGCCAGGGATCCAGGGGCAGCCCCAGCTGCTCTGGGCACCCTGTGCCAGCCCTCCTCACCCTCCCAGTGAATGATTCCTGTCCAAAATCCCATCCATCCCTGCCCTCTGGCACTGGGAGCCATTCCCTGTGTCCTGTCCCCCCACCCCTTGTAAACAGCCTCTCCGTGTTTCCTGGGTTCCTTCAGGCCCTGTGAGGCCACACTGAGCTCATCCCAAAGCTTCTCCTGTCCAGGTGAACATTCCCAGCCTTCCCTCCCAGCAGAGCTGCTCCATCCCTCACATCATTTGGTGCCTCCAGGTCCTCTCTGTGCTCTCCCCTGAGCCCCTCTGTTCTCCCCCAGTGGGTCAGAGCAGGCTCCAGCCCCATCCCCAGCAGAAGCCAGGCCAGGAGAGGCTGGCACAGGCTCTGCCACCCCAGGGATGGTGCTGGAGAGCCTGAGGAGCTCACAGGAGGTGCTGACACTTCTGACAAACCTTCATTCCCATCTAATAGAGGAGCCATCCCCCTCCCTTCCCATACGGGCTTGTTCTGCTCAAGGTCAGCCCAGCGCTCCCTGGAGACCTCATCAAACACACCCAAAGGGTTTCCTCAGCTTTGGGAGTGTCTGAAGCTCCCAATTCTCTCCTCACAGCTGTGGCAATGTGAGGTGGTGGCAAAAAAACAGAAATCCCCCAGAAATTCCCTGAGAAGAGCATCCAGAAAAAAGACAGAAGGATTTTCTACTTCCATGGCAAACATCGTGGGTTCTCTCCCTTTTCTTCCTGCCTCCCTCCTGCAAGCTCTGCCTTCTGGATTCCCGGGAAAGGAGGCAGAGCTCTGGGTGCCTGGAATTCTTTGTGCTCCATGAGATGTTCATGCTGGTCCTGAGGAGCCTCCAGAGGTGCTCTGGGGCTGCAATGCCCAACTGGATTTTCTTTTCTCTATCACTATTCTAAAATACACTGCATCTTTTCTTTCCAATGAGTCAAGTTCTGCTCCTGTCCCAGGAATTTCTGTGCTCTCCGAGCCAGCCACTGTGGCTCTGAGCAGTGCCAGAAATCCCCTGTTTGAAACCAGGATAAAAGAACCACACAAATATTGCTGCTACCTCCAGCTGAAATCAGCTGCCTTTTACAGGTCCCTTCGGAGAATCTGCTTAAGACAGATCAAGAAGGGGAAGTTTATAAAAAAGCAAACATTTGCTGGCAGATTGAGGATTGTTCATCAGCCATTTGCTCTCTGAACCTTGCTCTGCCCCTGCTTATGGAACATTGTAGTTCAATTAAAACATCCCTGTGATAACGAGCCATTAGCATTTGAACAGGAGTTACATTTTCCCAGGAGAAACTCAAATTTGCAGACTTCAAGCAGCATGACTTTTCCCTTTCCACGGATGTATTATAGGATGCTAAGTTTGCTTTATGGTTTATTTTTTTTTTATTTTTTTCGTTCCTGCTCACTTGTGATCATTTCTTTTGGCCTTGTAAAATTCTGGGAGAATTTTGGGAATGGTTTTTCCTTTCAGAAGGGCCTGGGGCTGCTGGGGGCCAGATCCAGGTGTTGTTATTCAATTTATTTGCCACAATCACAGCTTGTGAAGGGTGTTTTCCACTGGACATGCAGGGTCCCTGGAGCAGCCCCAAATGCAGGTGCCCAGCAGAGCAGTGGCAGCCAGACCAGGAAATTCCCCATTTCCTTCTCCTTTCTGCCTCCAGCTGTGCTCTCCATGAGGTGCTGGGAGTCCTTCCAGAGCTGCCAGAGGGGGCTCAGCCCCGAGATGATGGAGCTGCCTGGGCCATGGGCTGGGAAGCAGCTCCTGGAACTCATCCAAGATGTTCCCAGTGACCAGGCTGAACCTCGGTGTTGCCCTCTGCCCTATGGTGAGAGAGCTAAAAAATGCCAAAGTCCTTGAAAAGCTGGTGTGGAATGTATTCCATTTTATTTCAGACATCAGGGATTTTTCATAGAATCACTGACTGGTTTGGGTTGGAAGGGACATTAAATCCCATCCCACCCCTGCCATGGCAGGGACACCTTCCCCTGTCCCAGCTGCTCCAGCCCCAGTGTCCAGCCTGGCCTTGGGCACTGCCAGGGATCCAGGGGCAGCCCCAGCTGCTCTGGGCACCCTGTGCCAGGGCCTGCCCACCCTGCCAGGGAACAATTCCTTCCCAATATCCCATCTAAATCCACTCTGTTTCTGTGAAGCCACTCCCTGTGTCCTGTCCCTCCAGCCCTTGGGAATTGTCTCTCTCCGTGTTTCCTGCAGCTCCTTCAGGTCCTGGAAGGTCATAACGAGGTCACCCCAAAGCTTCTCCTGTCCAGGTGAACATTCCCAGCTCTCCCAGCCTTTCCTGCCAGCAGAGCTGCTCCATCCCTCTGCTCACCCTGGAGCCTCCCCTGGGCTCTCCCCAGCAGCTCCAGCTCCTGCCTGTGCTGGGCCCAGGCTGGGGCAGCTCTGCAGGTGGGGTCTGACCTGAGCACAGGGACAGAACCCCCCTCCCCTCCCTGCTGCCCACGCTGGGGCTCAGCCCAGGGCAGGGGAGGGTTCTGTGTCCCAGCTCTCACCCACAGCACCCCCAAATCCTTCTCCCAGGGCTGCTCCCTCCGCTCACCCAGCACTGTCCCCTCCTGCCACCTGCAGCCGTGGCCTTTCCACGTGTCCTCGTTTGCCCAGGGGTCCCTGCCTGCACATTTTGGGGCTCTGGGAATGAAACCCCAGCCCCAGAGCTGCTCCTGACGGGGCCCCACAGCACAAACAGCCCCCGAAGCAAAGCAGCCCCTGCCTGATCCCACGGCACACGTGTTGCTCCCTGCCCATGCAGATTTTACATCTCAGTTTCTCCTGGCTGGGATCAGATTTAAAGTGCTGCCCAGAGCCCAGTGTTTGACCTTCTGGAAGAGGCTTTTCCTGCTCTTTTGCTCCCTGCTCTGGCTCAGGCTCAGCTCCATGTGCTCTAATGCCTGTGAGCCCCTGGACTCGGCACTCGCTCCCCAGCTTTGGGGCTGGGGCAGAGCTGTGGCACCAAAGCAAAGCAAGATCAACACTTACACAACTCCAA